GATTCATTCGTATATGCCTCCCTAACATCACATGCGGATGTAATCTAAGCACAGACTATACTAGGCACGCGGGCTGCACTGATCAACCAATGAGCTCGTGCACGTCCTTTTCGTCATCACCACCGCCGTCCGTGTCGGCGCAGTGTCTTGCCTCACGCCTGGCGCGGCGACCATCCCGTAGTGACCGTCTGCGGGACGGGACGCCACCTGGCGTGGCCACTCTCGGCCAGCTCGGCGCCGCCCCTGTCCGTGGCCGCACGTCGGGGGCCGCTGCGGTGCCGTGCCGTGCTGTGGGCGACGTCTTGCACCGCTGGTCGCCGCGTTGGTATGCTTGGGCGTCTTCTTGCCCTGCGGGCGGACGAGGAATGCCGGTGGCAGTGGGGATGGGATGGCGCCGCTGGCGACGGCCTTGGCGTACTCCTCGTCCTCGTTTGGTAGTGCGGACACTCATCTGAATGAAGCATACACACACAGGGCCCCACACAGTGATAGAGATGGACATGACATCCACACCCGCCTGTGGTGTAAGTGATAGAGTGGGTGGCGCTGACCTCCATTGCGAAAGCGGCGGGGATGGATGGATGTGCATCAGCAGCGAGAGGAAGCGAGAGGAAGCGCCGTGCGGCTCCACATACGTTTGGCTCCTGCTGGCGGCCTTGCCTGATCCCTTCTGTCACGCCGTCGAGGCCCATACCGAGAGAGGGGCGCTGAGGGAAGAGATGCTGGTGCTGGTGGTGGCTGTGAGAGGGGGAGAGCTGTGCGGCGGCCACCGGCGACAGGCAGGTACACCAACAAACAATGCGCTCAGTCAAATACTGCAGGGAAGGGACAAACAGACAGACAGACAGAGAGCAATGGATGGATGGATGGATGGATGGATGTGTGTCATGTTGGCCTCCCTCTCCCTGCCTCCCTCTCCCTCTCCTCTCTCCCTCTGGATCTGTCCTCACCTCAGTACAGGGCAAGTGCGATGTAGGGAAATCTCGACGCTGAGGCGAAGGACAGCGTGCTGCAGGAAGACACGATGAGTCAATCAGCCTGCGCGACAAGGAGAGGGACAAGCAGGCAGTAGGTGAGGTGGCTGTGGGTCTCAGGAGGCCATGCAGATACGTACGTTTGTGTGTACATAAGAATGGATCTTTTGAGTGAGGGGATGGCCGATGGGTCAGGCAGGCGTCGTCTGTGGGTGTCGCTTAGCATCGGAACGTCTTCCTCACGCCTGATCAGGCCCGTCTTCCAATGGGGGGAGAGGGGCGGGCGTGAAGGAGGGGAATCTTGCGGTGAAGGAGGGGGATCTTGCTTTTGGGACACCCATCTATCCCCACCTAGATGCACAACGGCAGATGGCGCATCAGCAGCGGCCCTTGCAGCAGCGGTTTCAGGAAGTACCCTAAGGGCATGTTTGCCGAGCTCGCAGCGCCTTCTCCCTCCTTCTTCTCTCGCACCCCCTCCTTATCTCCGAAACAACCGTGAGCAACGTGCACTCAGTTTGGTGGTGTGTGAGCTGTGGTACATAAGCTTCTCTCTTCCTGTTCGCCTCCATCCTCCGGCCATGCAGCGAACAGCTCCCAAGGACGACCTTCTCAAGCTCCGAATCTCGACTCCCCGGGTAACTATCGCTTGACGAAGTTCCCATCAAGAAGGTCAGTTGATACCAGGATACACAAAGGCACAAACGCTGTGTTTAAGCCTATTCTCTGTGTGTGCGTTTGGCGTGCGTGTGCTTCGTTTCCTCGCCAGGTGGTGAATCACTGATTTTCGCAGCCAGCCAAGCAGGTAGCAGAGTGCCATCCATCAGCGGAGATGACAGGGCAGCCGATAACGTGCAAAGCAGCGGTTGCGATGGGTGCCAAGGAGCCGCTGCAGGTGGTGGACGTGGTGGTGGGTCCACCGCAGAAGGGCGAGGTGCGCATCAAGATCACCCACACGGCCCTGTGCCACACGGACGAGTTCACCCTGTCGGGGGATGACCCCGAGGGCCTCTTCCCGTGCATCCTCGGCCACGAGGCCGCCGGCATCGTCGAGAGCGTCGGCGAGGGCGTGACCACCTGCAAACCGGGAGACCACGTCATTCCATGCTACCAGGTCAAATGGATGGTGCACTCACTCGACTGACGTACACATAAATGACATCTATGGATGGATGTGTTGTGCAGGCTGAGTGTTTCCCGTCTGACCGTGAGAAGAACACGTGTCCGACGTGTCGCGGGTACAGCCTGGGCAAGACCAACCTGTGCGGCAAGGTGCGGGCCTTCACGGGCAAGGGCATCATGCGGGCGGACGGCAAGCCGCGCTTCACACTCAAGGCCGACGGCACACCCATCTACCACTTCATGGGCACATCCACTTTCGCCGAGTACACCGTCCTACACGAGGAATCCGTAGCCGTCGTCAGGAACGACGCACCGCTCGACAAGGTCAAATCACATACACACACACTCCCTCCCCCCCCACCTCTGTCTGTCCATATCTGTGTGTGGATGTGTTTGTTGGTTCATTCAGGTGTGTCTGTTGGGCTGCGGCGTGTCGACAGGTCTGGGTGCCGTGTGGAACACGGCCAAGGTCGAGGAGGGAGCGTCGGTGGCCGTCTTCGGGCTGGGAACCGTCGGCCTGGCGGTCATCGACGGCGCGCGTGCCGCCAAGGCCTCGCGCATCATCGCCGTCGACCTGGACGAGTCCAAGTTCGAGCGCGCCCGTGCGTTTGGTGCGACCGAGTTTGTCAACCCGGCCAAGCATGACAGGCCGATCCAGCAGGTGCTGGTGGAGATGACCAACGGGGGCGTCGACTACTCATTCGAGTGCATCGGCAACGTCAAGGTGATGCGCGCGGCGCTCGAGTGCTGCGCCAAGGGCTGGGGCGTGAGCACCATTATCGGCGTGGCGGGGGCGGGGCAGGAGATCGCCACGCGGCCCTTCCAGCTGGTGACGGGCCGCGTGTGGAAGGGGACGGCCTTCGGGGGTTTCCAGAGCCGCAGCATGGTGCCCAAGCTGGTGGACCGGTACCTCAACGGGGAATTCAAGGTCGACGAGTACATCACCCACACCTTGGCCTTCGACCACATCAACGAGGCCTTCGATCTGCTCAGGAAGGGCCAGTGCCTCAGATGCGTCATGACACTCTGATACAGACAGAAAGGGGGAACGGGCAAGAGGATAGGGGAAGCAGGGAGGGAGGGAGGAGGGAGGGAGGGATGCGCTCGGTCCTTTTGCTGAAAAGGGCCCCTTGTTGTAGCTTAGCAGCCAGACTAGCTCAGCTGATGTGTACCGTACCGACCAGACCTGTTGTGTGTGGAGAGGCAGTCCAGTCAGCCGCCCGGTCAGCCCGCCCATTCCCTCCATTCCATTGCAACCCAGCCCATCTCCTACGCGAGGTGTATACAAGGAATTCATACAGTACAGTGTGTGGTATATATGGAGTATGTAGTGAGGTAGGTGCAGCCAGCCATCGCACTGTCGTCTGCTAGCTACTTGCAAGCATGGTTAAAGCTTCGTGAGGTGTCTGTCTGTCTGTCTGTCTGTGTGCGTGAGTTTGTGAGTGCAGTGGGTGCGTGCGTGCGTGAGGAATATGTGTTTCCTTCGTGTGCAGATGGATGTGTAGTGCCGACAACCCCTTGCCTTGCCTGAATGCCTTGTGTGATTTGCGGCAACGTGTTCCGACAATCCCTTGCCACACACACGTATGCATGCATGCTTGCTACACGTCCTTCATTAGCCATTTCTTCATTCGTCTCACCTCACGCGCCGTCACCTCTCTGCACAGAGTCTCCCTCCCTCTCTGTCCACACGCCGTCCGTCCGTTCGTCGGGCTGGCGGGCTGGCGGGCTGGCTATCACGCGCAAAGCCACTCAGTCAGTCGTCGTGACGCAGGCAGGCAGGCAGAAATGGGCAACACACACACTCTCTGCGACACACACTTAGCTACACACCGAGACACACGCGCGACACAGTAAACGACAGACAGGGGCCCCGAGGCAGGCGCACGCAGGACAACACAGCACAGCACAGCACACAGCACAGCTCAGCTGGCATCGTGGCTGTGTGTGCGTGCTGGGTGAGGTGAGTGGGTGCCAGTGGGTGAGGGGGGGCGGGCTGCCAGTCCCCAACTCGTACGGACACACGGGTACAGAGCGATATGACTGACATGAGGTCGAGAGAGGGAGGAGTGTACGAGGGATTGCAGCAAATACACAAGACGAACAACAAACAGGTGTCTTCCCAATAAATCCATAACACACAGAGAGGTCTATGGACGTATGGCCGGCCAGCTGTAAGAAGGAATCAACCGATGGATGGATGGATCTTGACGGGTGTAGGCATGGCATCGCACACACACACACACAGGCAGGCAGGCAGGCACACTGGTCGACGGATGGATGGATGGGTAGCTTGATTGATAAAATGGTGGGCACGAATGCGCTGACGCAGGCAAGCAAAAGGGACACACAGCCCCCTCCCACCCACCTTCACAACACACACACACACACACACATTGGCTGACTGACTGGCTGACATTGGCACACAAACATACGTAAGCAAAGGGGCGGGGCGGGTGGATGGGGAGGGGTCCATCCATCCATCCGTGGAGGCGAGGCTGCCAATCGATCAGCGGACATTATCTGCTATGAAGTTGATGAAGCGCTCTGGCGTGCAGAAGGGCACACAGCACACATAGCGCGAGAATGATCATATGTCTCTGGTGTGGTGTGTGTATCGGTCGGTGTCGTACCTACCGGCATACTGTGGCGGCGGGACGCACGAGATGCCTTTGCGGTCATAGCGGACGGACTTGACGGCATACTCCAGGATCTTGCGATTGCTGCACACACACACACACACACAAACACAAACACAAACACAAAGAAACAAACCACACAGCATTCACTCGTGGGCCAAGATGTGTGTGTGAGTCGGCTCCGTCGCTCACTCGTAGAGCGTGAGGAAGTCGATGATGCCCAGGTAGTAGATCTGCTTCTCGTCAGACGACAACATGCCGCCGCAAAACTCCTGCTCACAGGAACCACAATCCACAAAATACATTGACACATTGACCCATGCCGGCGGAGAGAAGTATATGTTATGTCCCCCTGTGTCTGTCTCCACTTGTCCCCTGCTCAAAGCTCACCTCATGGAAGGGCACCCTGGGTCCGGGCGGTCTCCCCTGCAAGATGGCCTCGTTGTCGGTATCGTCGCCTCCCCCGTGTGGCTGAGACGACCCCCCGCCCTCTCTGGGCGTGTAGACGGCATCGCCGGCTCCAGACGCCGACGCACCGATGTTGGTGGACGACCCTGGGGAGGAGCGGAATGGCGCCACGGCCATCATGCCACGGGTGGGCGTGTGGGACGCCTGCACGCGGCTCGCCGGCGTGTCTGACAGAGGCAGCTCCTCGGGATTCGTCATGTCTAGTGACCACAGCCACCAACACAACACACGGAACAAAACAATGAATGAATGAATGCACACCGAGCGAGAGAGGGTGTGAGTGGGTGTACCTCCCTACCTCTGTCGTGTATGCCGAGCAGCAGTGAGTAGTCGATGATGTGGTGGTCTTCGAGGAAGTGGGCGTCGCTCGTCAACTGGGACACCAGCGCGGCACGACGCTCGGAGCCCAAGTTCAACTGAACCAACCAATATAATGGAGGACGGGTCGGTGCGTCAAGGACACTCCTTGGTCGTGTGTACCTACCTACCTGTTCCCTGCGGACTCTGAAGTCGTTGTCTTTGAGTGCGACAGTCCGGTCTGGCGGGTCGCCGAGCTTCTCGGGCCGCGTCGACCGCCCCACCCAGGAACCCTTCAGGTCGTACCTGACACATACATCCACTCATTGACACACACATACAAGGGCTCATCCATCGGGGGGTGGGGTGAAAGCCATGATGCACTTCTTAACCACAAGGCGCACCTCCGCTGTATCTCGACGGGCGTGTTGAAGAAATTGCCCATCACCACAAAGTACAGCTTGACCACCTCTGCAGCACCAACAAGGACAAGGAAGGACGACCCGCCAGAGACGGACGGACGGGCAAATCGATGACTCTCCCTCCTGCGTCTAGGCAGATGGAGTGTGCGCTAAGTTACTTGTGCTAACGAAGGTCTTCTTGGTCAACCTCAGGCCGTGCAGCCCATAGAACCTCCACACACCACACACAAAGACACAAACGTCTCCCTCTGTACGTGTGTGTACTTGGCTCCCTCCCTCCTTCGCTCCCTCCCTCCCTCCCTCCCTCACTTGCAGAGCAGCGTGTGTGGGTTTGCCCTGAGGTATGCGTAGTAGTCCTTGAGGAGGCTCCTGAAGAACCGCGCCTCTGCGGGCGTCATGGTCTTGATCATGAACCGCCCGTCGGCCGTGTAGTAGAAGAACGCGCCGCTCTTGCCCTCACTCGACAGCTCAGACAGAGACGACAGGTTACCAAGCACCATGTTGCCCTGCCAGGCGGGAGCCAATTATGATATGATTGCCGACCGGTACACGCACGCAGAAGACATGTGTTGTGATGTGATGTGTTGTGGTGTGGTGTGGTGTGGGTTGCTGACCATGAGTTGCTCCGGTCCGACGGACCGCAGGTACTCGTCTGCGTCGACGCCAAACCTCTCCCGAATCTTGCGAAACACAAATGGCGCGTAGTCGATGAAACGCGTCACCTGAATCAACCCATACATACATACATGAGAGACGATGCCCCCCACCCACCCACCCACACACACACAAACGCATCTCCTGCCCCTCTGTCTGTCTGTCTGTCTGTCTGTCTGTCTGTGGCGCTGACCGTGAAGCTCTTTGCTGCCGTGTCGAGTAGGTGTCCCAGCCGAGGTGCCAGGGTGAGCTTCTCCTTCATCTCAAAGTCAGCCGACATGATCTGCCGGTTGGGGGCGTTCTCGATGCTACCCACTCCCTGACGGATACCCAACATCATGTTCAGAACCTGCACACACACACAGAGACAGACAGAGGGAGTCAGGCAGGCCCCACTGACTAGGACAGAGGCATGCACGTGACTGACCAGGTTCCAGTTCTCGTGGCCAAAGTGGATGGCGAGCCCCTTCTTGGGACCCAGCAACCGGTACTGACGCTGAGTCCTCCTCCGGTGCCGCCGATCTGCACACGCACAGACAGAGAGGGAGGGAGGAGGGAGGGATGGCGGCGACGGGCTGGCTGGGTCGAGTGCACAGACGGGCGGGGGGGCGGATGGATCAATGGATGGATGGAGGGACGTACCTCTCCTTGTGCCGGTGGGGATGTTCTGCATCACCGAGGCCCTCCTGAGGGATGAAGCAAGCAAGGAAAGCCAGACAGACGGCAGTGTGATGCAGTGCAGTGCAGCCCATGCAGTCAGCCCCATCTCCGTCCATCCTTACCCGCCGGTGCCGCCCATCCACCCGGTACTGACATGCATAGGCCCACACCCACACCCACAGGTGAACCACAGATACATACCAACAGTGATGTCCCGTTGTGGTGCGTTGTATGGTGTGGTGTGGTGTTGTGTGGTGTGGCGGTGTGTGGTACCCACCCTGCTCGGTCGACGGGCATGGTGACGCTGCCGGGGCCACCCCGCACGTATGCCTCGACGGCAGGCGAACGGACAGACTGCACCAGCCAGCCAGCCAACCGAACAGACAACAAACAGCACACGTGAGGCACATGGGTGGGTGGTGTGGTGTGCATGATTGTTTTGTGTGGGTGGGTTGGGTGGGGATGAGGTGCTTACGGGGTCATCGATGTCGTTGAGGTCGAGGGGGAGGCCCGCACGGCCGTCGGGGAAGGACACCTTCACCTGACGCATACTGACACCACACACATAAGCACACAAGAACGGACCCGGTCCTTCCCTCAGAGTGGCAGAGTGGTGTCCGTCTGTCTGGCTGGCTGGGTAGGTGGCTCACGTGCTCGTGTCGGGCTCCCCTTCCTCCCTCTCTAGCGATTCTCGCCGACTACCAAGCCTGCACCAGCCAACACACAGACAGACAGACAGACGGACAGACGAGAGATGGACGGGCCGACGACATTGAATGTCCGATTGCCCGACCTCGATGCGGGCAGTGAGGATGTGGTGTCTGAGATGCGCGTGTCCTTCGACACGACCGGGAGGTTGGCGGGCGGCTCCACAGCCACGACGCCCGAGTCCGTCATGACGCCCTCCACCGCCACGGCAGAGGGCGAGTGGCCCCGGTCCAGCCCCGCAATCCCATACGCAGGATGCTCGGTGCTCGACGACTCGTCCACCGTCCTGACTCATGGACGGACGGATGAATGCATGCATGCATCACAGCGACAGACACCACTACAGCGTGACGATTAGTTGCTCGGCCGTGTCCCCCCCATCTATCCATCCCTACATCCATCCCTCTGTCTGTCTGTCTGTCTGTTGTGCGGTGCAATATGGCTGGTCGGGTGCCTTGCCTTACGGTTCTCTGTCGATCATGTTGAGGAGGGCCAGGACCTTCTGCTGCAGCCTCAGCATGTATTGGGTGTAGCGCGGGTCCATACGGCCAGGAGGGGCGCTGAAACGACCAGCATCGCCCGCATCCTGGGACGGCTCGGGCGGCTGCAGGGGGGTGGGGGCCGGCCTTTGGGGCGGCATGGTCAGCCGCTCAGTCGGCTTCACCACCTGCGTCATGGCCTGCGGGGTCAGCGGGGGCACCTCTACCTGCAGAAAGCGCACGTACGACACACAGACAGACAAGACTCCCTTCTTGTTATCTCCGGACATCCATCTCTGTCTGTCTGTCTGTCTGTCTGTTGTGGGCCGACCTTGGCTTTTGTAGGAGCCCTCTCTGCGCCAGGTTCGCCCTCGCCATCGCTCCTCTCCCTCTTGACGGGGAACCGCATCGGCTCTGCAGTTGTGGCGGCCATGCCCACCACAACCTCCTGCGGCTTCAATCCTGGCGCCCTCACCACACCGTCACGGCCGCCCGTTTTCCTTGTGTCCTCTTGCCTCTCCCCGTCCTTGACACGCGCACCACTGGTATCACCAGGAGGGGCAGGAAGGGCCGCGGCCGTCGTGACAGGCAGCTTGTTGTTGGCCTCCTCGGCCGCTGGTGGCTTCTGCCCGTCCTGCATCGACCCCGACCCGCCTAGGATGGTGGTGAGCGACGTCATCAGCCCAGACGTGACCACAAACGTCGACGGGTAGTCCTCGGCCTGCGACCCCGTGCCCTCGACGGGTTCGGGCGGCGTAAGGGCAGTGGTCTCTGGCGGCCGTGCGGGGGATGTGGTGGGCGCCCGAGTCGAACCGGTGCCGGGCGGCGGCGACCTCGGGGCCGATACTGCGGGCTGGTCGAGGTCGCCTGTGTCTGACAGGGGCGGGAACAGAGGCGCCAGGACGGGTATGGGGCTGGACGTGGTGAGGGAGGGAGAGGGGGGGCAGCTGGACTGGGCGGCGGGGAGCAGAGGAAGAGCGACGGGGGGGGAGGGCGTGGGGCCCGCTGGGGGCTGTTGCTGGGGTGCTTCTTGTTGCTGCGGGGGCCGGTCGTCGGCCTCGGGCCTCTCGTGAGGAAGCGCCTCGGGCGGGACGACCAACGGAGGGTGTCGAGCGATGCACACAGGCCAGCAAGACCACTGCAGACAGACAGGTCAACCAACCAGTCAATCAACCGACAGGCATCCATCGCATCCACCGCACCCCCCAGCCACCTGACCTGAGGTTTGCGTGGTGGCTTGGTGGCCCCACCCATCGACACTGCCATCTCTCCTGCCTCATGCCCATCGTCACCACCGTGGCCCTGCTGCCCCACGGGCGCGAGAGCCTGTCGGAGGTAGTCTGCGATGGCCTGGTCGAGCCGCTGGTCCAGTCCCGCTTGGCGCATCCAGCCCGTGTTGAAGGTCAGCGAGCTGCGCAGCGTGCCATTGCTGGCGGCGAGGGACCCGCCGCTGCCGTAAGTGCCCTTGCTGTGGCCGGGGCCGCCCGAGGAGGACTGCTTGGGGTCAGATGACGACCCGTAGGGCTGTGAGGTGCCATTGGATGACGAGAAGGGGTAGCTGGAGGTGTAGTTGTAATCTGAGCCCCCGCCGACGCCCGCCCCTGCCTCGCCATAGAGTGAGACGAAGGGCACCGACTCGGTGGGCCGCCTTTGGGGGGGTGGGTGCCGTTGCGGGACAGGTTGTGGTTGGGGGGTCTGTGGTGTGGCAGGGGGTGCCGAGTGGGCGGCCGGCGGCTGGGGCGACGCCATCTGGGAGGCGCCTACCGATGCCGTCTGCAGGCTGCTGTCGGGCCGCCGGTCGCCGCTGTCCATGCGGAACAGCACGGCATTTGCGTCAAGAAAACCTGTGCTCACCTGGTCACAGTTCCAACACAGATAGGTACACGAACCCATCAATCCATCCATCAATCACTCTTGAAAGGCTGTCGGTGCGTCCGTCCGTCCACGAGGTGCGTACGTACCATGTTATCGACAGTTTTGGTGAGGAGGTCCCTGATGGCGAGGAGTTCGTGTCGGATGTACCTCATGCGGCCGCTCTCCCGGGGCGTGTCGGTGGAGAACCGCGGCGACACGGCCAGCATGCCGTCGCGGCCGAACTGGGCTGTGGGGTCGCGCAACAACCCACTCACGCCGGGGGTGCCCGGAGATACACCCACTCCTGAACCAAACAACACAACCAGCCCACCGACATGACATAGAGGCGGGGTCGGTCCGTCGGTCGGTCGGTCTGTCTGTCTGTGCCAGAGAGTGAGTGTCATTTGTGATGACGGACCGCTTCGCTTGTTGGGGCTCCTGGCAGCGCGGGAAGAGCTGAAGCCAAAGGGAAGGACACCTGACAAATACATATGAGACATACAGCCACACAGGCGGGGAAAAGGGGCGTGCCGCGCTCCAATTGTCGGTGCGCTCGCTGCTCACCGAGAAGAGCCAAGAACTCCGGGCTATGCTTGACCGCATTCTTGTAACTGCAATCGCAGAATCAAACCAACCAAACCAAACCAAAGGAATGCAAAGCAACGCAGCGAACGAAATACACAGCAGCCCACTGCACGTGCAGATCTGTCTCTCTGTCTCTCTGTGTGTGTGTGTGTCACCGACTCTTCGAGTGTCATTCTGAGCTTGCCGTCCTCTCCCGGGCTGGCAAGACGCATGAACAAGTGCTGCATGTTGACGTCCGACAAATCCACTGACCAGCCCCATCGATCGATGGATGGATGCCAACACAAACAGACAGACAGACAGATGGTGCGCTCGTTGTCCAACCATTCGTTGTGTGCAGTGTAGACGTGCAGGTCAGTCAGGTTGGTATGGTGTTTACCTACCTTCGGGTCTGCCAGGCACAAGTGACGATATGGTCGTGTCGACGCACCGCACCATGGCCTTGAATTCGTCATATGTGATGAAGTTGGGGTCCATCCCACGCTCAATCACCACAACCCCACCCCGACTCACACCGCCACCACCACCACCACCACCAGCACCAGCCGCAGTTGTCGTACTTGTGGCGGACACACCACCCTGTGTGCCGCTCGATGGCACATCTGGGGTGGACACGCTCCGTCGGGCGGAAAGGGCTGGCAGTACGCCGTTGCACCTCCCCTGCACCAGCTTCTCATCGTCCCGTGAGTCCTTGTGCGGCAGCTCCTTGCCGTCTGGTGGATGTGACGGCCCTCCAGCGGCGGCCTCAGCGGCAGCCCGCTGCTGCTGTGCCCGGTGGAGGCGGACACTGTTGGCGTTGAGGATGCGGAAGGAGAGCTCGAGCTTCTCGTCCTCGCTGCCGCGAATCATTATGCCCAGGGACGTCACAAACTCAAAGAAATCAAGCTAAGGGACACATAGACAGACAGACACAGAAAAGCAGAGCAGAGCAGAGCAGACACAGATTCGCTCGGTCGCTGATGAGATCGACGGACTGACAAGCAGCGCTATGAGTGCAGCCTCCCTGATTGCCTGTCTGTCTGTCTGCCTGTCTGGGTACGTCAGTCGATCTGTCGCACGTGTAGAGCCCATGTGCTTGTGTCGATGTCTGTGTGTACCTCTCCGTCATTGTTTTGGTCGAAAGCCTCGAACATGCTGTCGGGCAGGAAGGGGTCGTCGAGCATGCCCAGATACCCAAGTGTTTCCCGAAATCGGGCCTTGCTCATGTGGCCCGTCGGGCAGATGCGGCGGAACCTCGCGTAGAGCGCCTGAATCTCCTTGGGCGTGAAGCGGTCCTGCATCTCTTTGCGCACCTTCTGCAGGGTCTCCACATCCACGCGACGCGGCACAGGCGCATCAGCCGCCGGGTGGTCGTCGACGACGCCACGGACGCGCCGACAGCTGCCCAGTCCACACGACATCGACTGACGGTAGGCCGCCGCCTGCTATGGCGGTTCCGGCAAGTTGATAGAAAGAAGCCTGGCAAGCTGAGTAGAGGGCCAAATCACAACAAGTGGAGCACAGCTGCTTCCACAACGACGGCAGCCCTCCAATCCTTCTCAAGAGAAGAAAATGACGTTTCCACCTTTGCTTAGCTAAGCTCGGAGACGCTGAGCTCGCAGATTGTCTCTGTCGGGAGCAGCGGCAATGCCCCTGTGGTCACGATAAATTGTCGACGGAGGCCCCTCACACCCACCCACAGACACAGCCCAGGTATGTATGTACGCACCGCATACAGCCACGACGGATCCATCCACTCGCTCCCTTGGTCCATATATCCCATTCAGGTGTCATTTCCCTTCTCTCCACGTGTGTGCTGCTTGGGTTGCTAGGTTCTTCCCCTGTCTGTCTGGCTGATTGATTGATTCAACTCACACACAGGCTGGATGGTGTTGTTCCACCTGAAGGGCAAGGAGGCCCAGCACGAGTTCCTCTACGAGTGCCCCGCCAGCACGCCCACCGCGGCCCTCATCGCCGACCTCGTCCGCGTCCACAACACGCGCCTCAAGGTCATGCGACTCGCAGACGCATGCCTGGGGCTTGCCGCACACGGCCCGCTCCGGCCTGAGGAGACCCGCGGCCTCTCGGACGAGGTGGCCAAGCTGTCGGAGCTGAGCTTGGACAAGGGTGCCACGCACCCCGACCCCTCCAACTACCGCACTGGAGTGCCGCCCACGGCAGCCACGGCAGAGGTGCTCAAGCGGACGGCAGAGGAGGCGCAGGAGGCCGTCTCGCACAAACAGGTGGGTCGCACAAACAGACAGACAGGCGCACACACGATGGGCAACTGATCGTACGATGCTTTGTGTCGTGTTGGGTGTGTCCCCTGATGTGTCCATTGTCGTCAGGTTGGTCATCGGGTGTGCATGACGGTGTCGCGTTTGCAGGAGTCGCTGGACAACTTGCGGGGTGCGGTCATGATAGCCTACCCGGCCTACCACAACCTCCCTGAGTGGGACCCGGCGCGCATGATCCTCGAGGACAAGGACCCCCTCGAGGGCACACACGAGGGCAAAGAGGTACATACGGGCGGGAGGGCCGACGGCTGGGTGCCGGGTGCACCTGTGTGTATCTGTCTCTGTGTGTGTCGGTTCAGGTGTTGTGCGAGTCAAGTACGGGTTTGTGGTGGGCGGGGAAGGAGATGCGTCGCGGCAAGCTGGTCAGCGACTTCCTCGGCCGCAACGAAAAGACCAAAGTGGTGGCGCGCCTGCAGCCCGCCAACGCGGGTCGGTTCGTGTGCCGAACATGAGCAGATAGATGGGCAGAGAGCGAGCACCTCCATCCATCCATCCATCAGCTGTCGACCTGTACTTCATTTCTGTGTGTATTCCTCTCCTTGGTTCTGTTGTCTTGTCCGTAGGTGCGCCAGTGCGCGAGCCGCGTGTGGATGAGGAGACGCACAAGGCCATGCTGTCGTTCTACCACAAGCGGCAGCAGGAAGACAAGGTACACACCTGCCCGATATATGCCATCCATGACCCCACCCACCCGCGATCACCTGCTTGTGTTGAATTAGTTAATTGGTGTGCTGTGCTGTGGTGTGGTGTGGTGTGGTATCTGGAGCAGCAACTGGAAGATGACGAGGACGATTCGTATCTCGGATCGGCGTGGGCCAACCCCCGAGGCCTCAAAAACGCCCTCGTCGGCGGCGGCAAAGACATCAAGTGGAAGCCATTCAACTAAACTCTCTGCCTGCCTGCCTGTCCAGGCGTGTGTGGGTGAAGTTGACGTGAGTAGCGTTGGGGAGGCTGGGTGGATGGATGGAGGGATGGGCTGACTGACTGACTGACTGTGTATAGGGATGGTTGTCTGTGCGGTGTACACTACACGGGGACGCTTCGCTTCGGTGTGGGGGGTCGGTTCAGTGGATGGACGTCTGCTGATGGTCTGAGGGCGTTCATCATTCAAGCGTTTGTCCAGCTGCGCTCAGCTCAGCACAGTAATCGTGCCATCTGTATTAATAGAGTGACTCACCGATCCGTCCGTCTATCCTACGCTCAACGAGCGTAGGAACAGGCAGAAAAGCACTTCCATCCATCCATCTATCCATCCATCCCATCCCATCCAATCGCACGCAGCACACAATGTCCATTTTTTCAATTTAGCGATACATACACCCATCCTGTTTGTACCGATCCATCCGGCCGTCCGGCCGTCCGCGCATCCACATCCATGAGCAAAACGTACATCGTCTCAGTCGGCGACAAAGGAAAACGACGACAGCTACATGAGGCGCCAGATGGCACTCTGTACCTCTCAGCGGGGAACCAAAAGCGGATCCCTTACGTCTCTTTCCAGCTGACCTACGGTCAGCGGACCCAGTCGTGGCTACCTCTTATTCGAAGGTCATTGTCGTATTCACCGATGCTTCGGACTCCGGCAAAAGGGAAAAACGCGTTGCAGACAAGCCGCCCGTCCCTCTCCCTCTCCCTCTCCCTCTCCGTGCTATCCCCTCCCTCCCTCTACCAGCGGACACCACGCATCGACACACATGCACTCATTCATGCCCTCATCGATTCACTCGGCCCTCACATCCATCCCATCCCCCCCCACCCCACTCCGGCTCACCCCTCCCTCCCTCCCTCCCTTTATCTGTCTATCTATCAGCCGACATCGATGACCGGTATGAGTGCAGGGCGTGCAGGGCGCCATCCCACATGGCGTCCCATGAATCCTCCCTGCCCTCCCCCGTGTGGCTGTCCGACACTCCCACTGCCCATGGGTCGGTCCTGGGTGGCTGGTGGTGCTGGTGGTGGGGCGAGCATGGCTGGCGCGTCGAGTGGGCTGCGGATGGGAGGGATTGGATGGACGAAGACGCCATTGACGAAGACGCCATCGACGTCGACGCCTCCGTTGCCGAGCGGCTGCCTCTTGCGTTTCTCACCCACGCCGCCACCACCTCTCACACCCGCACCCATACCTTGCACACCCCAAATGCCACTCGATGACGACTGGTACTGGTGCTGGTACTGCTGAGCCGACGAAGTGGAGTACTGCAAGACACTCAGAGGGGGCAGCGGATGGCTGGTGCTGTTGTGGACCTGCCCGCCCACAGAGGGGCCGCCTCGGGCGGCGCCATTGAGTGTCTCCCCGACAGCTGGGTTGCTGCTCACGCCGATGGCCGGTAGGGCGCCGAGCGAGGGGTGACTCGACCGGTGGTTGTGCTGGTGCTGGGGGCGGTGGACGGGCTTGTGTTTGGGCGTGGGCGTCGGCGGATGGTGAGGCTGGGTGGTGGGGCCGGCCTGCCGCTTGGGAGGGGGCTCGGGCATGTCCTCCTCAGCCTCCAAATCGATGACTGGCGCCATGCCCCCACCAACACCCACACCCATGCCCATGCCCACACCCACACCAATGCCCTCCCCCTCTCGCTCGGCGCCACCACCCTGACGCTCGCCCCGGCCCATCTCGCCAACACCTCCACCCAGAGCCTCACCCGCACCCCCGAGGCCCACAGACGCAACCCCGCCGCTGATGGTGGGTGCCGGTGCTGACGCCTTTGCTCTGTCTGGGTATCTGAGGGCCATGATGGCGTCGAAGCGCGTCTTGTCGTCGGGTGACGGTAGGGTGGCGGTGGCCGCGGTGGCCATGGCCTCCTGCTGTGGGGGCACCCGAGCCGTCTGGCTGGCTGCAGGGGGGTTGATGGTGATGGGAGGGAAGGCAAGCCCCACGCCGCCCCAGGGCAGGCGGAGGTAGCTACCCGTGTCCTGAAGAAACACGTACAAGGAAGGAAGAATGGACACACAAATGGATGGATGGATGGATAGTCTCTCTCATGTGGATCTTCGTGTGGGTGTGGGTGGGTGGGCATCTGCGCACCTTCACGCCGGGGATGCGGCAACGAATGCCTGGCGGTGCAGGCCCCCAAAACAAATCGCCGAAGGAAATCGGGCCGGTCGTTGGAGCAGGGGCACCGTTGCCGATGTTGCTCGGTGGCTGGATGGGCAGAGGCGCGGCAGCAGCAGCGGGGGCCGCACCGGATGAGGCGCTGGCCACCACCTCGCACCCCATGGCCTCTTCTCCCTCTCCCTCTCCCTCCCCCGCACCACCACCCCCACCGAGTTCCTCCCCACCAGCACCGATGGCAGGCTCGGCCACCTGCAGCAGCACGTGCGCCTGGCCATCCACCGGGGCGGGTGGGGGTGCGACGGTCGCTACGGGCGCGTCGCGCTGCTCGTGCTGCTCCTGCTCAGCCGGGGCCTCCAATGCCACCTCTCCCTGGTGCTCGCCAACGTCCTGGGCCATCTCGGCGTCCTTGGCGATCTCGGCGCCCTCGATACCCGACACATCTGACGCCACAACAAAGGAGCGACAGCAGCAACAACGACGTTGATGGTGACTGGTCAATGGATTGGTGTCGTGTGGTGTCTGTGGTGAGATGACTGACCTATGTCATCGGGTTCACACCGGGCCGGCGTGCGATTGTCGTCAGCAGGGGGCGCATCGACTACGGGCGCCGGTGCGAGTGGTGGAGGTGCGAGTGCGGGTGCAGCGATGGGGAGCTGGGCAGGCTGGTTGGTGTTGGTGTTGGGGTGGGGGGGCAGCCCGGGTGGCTGCACTCCGTCGACGAGCTCCAGCTCCTCCTCCTCTACCTCCAGGTCGTCGTCGTCGTGCTCCTCACCCTCACCCTCGCCCTCCTTCTCGCCTGCGTCATACACACAACCAACAGACAAACAAACAAACAGATATCACATGAGATGCGATGGTCACAGTGTGCTTTAGTGTCCCCGTGTGGATGGATGGCTGGATGGAAACCCACCGTTGTCCTCCTGGGCGGCCTCGTCCTTCTTGGCCGGCCGACACTCCTCGCACAGATACTGAACGAACCAATGGAGGCAACGAACAAAACCAAACAAACGAGCAAACAGACAGGGAGCGATGGGGGGAGGGAGGGAGGGAGGGGCGAGAAGGATTACAGACATGGATACAGTGGCGTGAGGTGCAGTGCGTGTGCGTCGTGTCAGCTTGCTCACCTTGGTGCGCCAGCGCATCGGTCCGGGGCCCTCCATCTCAGCTACCGACAAACCCGTGAACCTGACCACCACACAGAAAGAAGAAACAGATGACAGACCCCAACGCACCGGTGAGGACGGTTCGCGTGTGTGGATGGCATGTGTGGGTGTAGGTAAATGTGTGTATGTGTGTGTGTGGTCAGTTACCGATGGCCACATGCCTTGCATCTGGTGACGATGAGGTCGTTGGTTGTGCAGCCGAGGACCCGCACCGAGGTGGGCGAGGCCCTGTCCATCTTCTTGATCTCCGACTTGGCCACTTTGCCCTCACGGACGAGATCCTCTACCAAACCTGACCCACCGTCACAACACACACACACATCCATCCATCTGCATGTTTGGTGCATGTGTTGGTTGACACGAATGGTGGGTGACGTACGCTTGTAGAGCTCGCGACCGGTCTCCTCGGCGTTGAGCTCCATCCGCCACACCAGTGCACATGGGTGCCACCTGCACACAGACACACAGACAGACAGACGCAGACACATAGACGACCATTTCTGTCACCCATTTGTGTGCACGTGTGTTGTGTTGTGTTGGCTCACTTGGCCACTCCGATGAGCTTGCCGCACTTGCATGGCTTGGCCTTGAGCGCCTTGGCCAGCCACATCTTGACGCACACCTCGTCGTAGGGGAGGAAGTTGACGGCCTCCGTCATGTTAAACCTGCACATACATACACACACACACACACGGGCAAACACATAGAAGACAGAGACAGACAGCCTCATTGGATAAGTGGTGGACAGATGGATGGATGGATGGATGAACGGATGGATGTGCGTGAGTACCCGAGGTTGAATCCCTCGTGGTAGGCGCCTGGCAGCGTGACGACAAAGTCTCCCTCCTCCTGAACTATGCTGCACTCGACACACGACGCACCACCCACTCGACAGACACAACAATTAACCCATGCACGGACGGACGGACGCACTCATTCCTCTGGCCTCCCTCCCTCCCTCCCCATAGCTCACCGGTATACGGGGATGCCGGCCTCGATGAGGATGCGGGGGTGGATGAGGATGGCCTTGTGCCGGATGTACTCACCGCTGAACATACCAAACAAACAGACAGACAGCCAACCATGCGCAGACAGACAGACAGACAGAGAGATGGATGGATGGATGGTGTGTTGCCTGGCTGGTTGGCTGGCTGGCTGGTTGGTTGGCTGACCACCGAGCGAACTCCTCGGGCAGGTGCGATTTCGCCAACTCGTCCACGGCCCCGCTGAACGCGGCAGGCACCACATACCACACCCTAACAGACAGACAGACAGACAGACAGATTGTGTGTATGGTTGTGTTGCCGTGGTGGTGTTGTGGTTGTGCGTACTTGGCCTTGCCCATGTGCCAGCCCTTATGACTGAAGTTGATCGACGGCAAATCCAAATCCTGACACACAAGCACACACAGACAGACAGACAGACAGAGAGAGAGACGAGGGGGAACACTCCATTCATCCATCCATCCACATGGCCTCCCCACCCTCTCCCTGTCCACCGACTCACTCACCTCTTTGTGGAGGCCAAAGGCCGAACAGAACTTGCCTGAGTGACCGCAGAAACAGCACCAGAGACGCTAACGGCTCTTCCCTCCCTCTCCGTCTGTCTGTGTGTGGTGTGGTGTGATGTGATTTGTGCTGTGTAGTTGTGTCCTACCGAGGTATGAGTATGGCGTGTTGATGCCGGCCATGTAGGGCATGAGGCGCACGGCGTTCCCCAGGAAGAGCCCCAGGTTGAGCCCCGGGCACTTGTCGATGCCGTCAAACATCGTCTTGTCGAGGTTGTCCGCGTAGTACCGATATCCGCACTTGCCGCTCGTAAACTGAATGAAGCCATGCGTCCGTCCACCACACATAACACACAAGACAACACCACAATAACACAACACAACACAACACAACACAACACAAGACAGCACGGTAGCACCACACCACACCAGTTCCTCAGTGCATGTGTGTACCAGGTTCCAGACGTTCTTCTCGGTCTCGGGGTTGAAGGTGCTGGTGATCGGGAAGGGCGTCGGGCCGTCGGCCATGTCCATGAACCTCTTGGCCTTGAACCTGCAACACACATCCACACACACACACACAACGCACCGACACAGATGGATGGATGGATGGATGGGCGTCGCATCTCGTGGTGTCCATCCATGCATCCACACGTCGATGCGCGCATGGTGCTTACGTCCTCTTGTCATTCCGCATCTCGATCTGCATGATGCCCTCGGCCGCGCCACGCCGCTTGACCACTGTACGCCCACACACAACACACCAAAACAACACCAATACAACACAGATCCTCTCTGTTTGTATGTGCGAGCGGCCATCCATCCATCCATTCACTGACCCTTCTGGCGGGTCTTGTGGGTCACCCTAAGCTTCTCGAAGAACGCTTTGTCGAACCCCTTGGCGGACGAGCGAAACTCAGGGGCTGGCCGCAACTGCACCACCATACACACACAGACAGACAGGCACAGACGCACCCCCGTCCGCAGCCCCACAGCCCCACAATGGTGGTCATGGCTCTGCCTGCCCGTGTCTGTCGTGTGACTTATCCATCCATCGCTTTTGTCGTGTGTACCAGGAGGCCGCCCTGCTTCTCGCCCTTGATGAAGAGTTCCCGCCACTTCTCGGGGGTGAGGTTGCCATCTGCCGGGATGGGCGTCGCCTTGATGTCTATCACCTTCTTCTGCCAGCTGCACACATCACAACACGACACCAGGAAGCGCTATGCCTTCCCAGCAGTGCAGCCGCATATCCCCTGTGCTCCTCTCACTCTTCGAGCTCAACAGCCGCCGCAGGCTGTCCATCCGACGCACCAGGCATCGCTACCTGCTACCCACCAGCAGGAAAGGACACTCCAGGTGGAAAGCTCGCAAGCTAATAATTCCGTGAAACCGCTGTGAAGGAACGCCAAGGAAAGTTTTCGACCTCCTCCTTCACCTCTGCTCCTTCCCTGCACGACAAAGTAAGCGGCAGAAGAATCCATCAGCTCCACCACACGAGCACACGGACACGCACAAGCCAGAGTCCCATCCATCGCCTTTTCCCTGCCTGTCTCCAGCCAACCGAGCACTCTTTCCGCCTCATCGCCTTCCCCCGCTGCTGCTGGCTGCTTGCCGCCTGTCATCTTCAGCATGACCCGATCTCTCCTGCGTCTGCTGCCGTCACTGGCCGTGTTGGCCTCCATCTTGCCGGTCTCGCCACACGCGAGTGGCATCTCTGATGTGCGTCGTCTCGAGAGCTCCGCCACACGGTGGCTGATGCAACGGGCGGGGCTCGGCTTGTCGGGCAACATCGCGCTTGCGTCGGGTGCCACGGGTGGCGCTGGTGGGGCGCTGCGAGGCATGCAGAGACGACCTGCGTCGGCAGAAGTGGTGAGAGGGACGGGGGAAAGCGTCTCGCATCATGGTGGCATGTGTCTCTGTGTCCTCTGTGTTGTGTGGTGATGCGGTGCAGCTGGTGAACCAGACCTTCACGTGCAGCTTCCCCGAAGACGGTGAGCAGAGCAGACAACACCACACCACAGCCCAGTTCACTCACTGAATGAGCTTATCATTGTGTTGCTATTCGTTGTGTTGTGTGGACCAGACTGCAGCAACGATCCCGACCACCACGGTGAGCTGTCCAACTACACGCACTGCTTCGACGGCCGTCCGCACGCCCACGACTGGCTGCACTGGATCATGGACATCGACATGAGGTGCACCGACGTCTACAACGAAAACGGCACCGAACTCGTCACCTGCAAGGACCTCGCCCCCTACCAGCAGGAGACGCACGACCTGCTCTCGCACTGCCAGGAGGACTCGGACCTGATGATCGGCACCTGCTACTACGTCTGCATCCAAGGTCGCACGACACGGGAGGGAGACCACATGGATGGATGGATGGATGGATGGGGTCTGACTGGTGTGGTGTTGGCGTGTTTGTTTGCAGGGCGTCCTGTGTACCGGTGTGAGCTCAGGTTCGACCCCGAGAATAAGCACCTCATGCGACACGAGGCCATCAAGAAATGTAAGTCAGTCGACCTAGAGGCAGGCCAACATAACATACATACATACGCACCAACCCAGCCGCCCAGCAGTGACCTCTCACTGCCTCACTCACCCACCCCACCGACGTGTGCGTATGGCTCCGTGGCTGCAGGCAACTGGAATGCCGTGTGCCTTAACGCGACTACAGAGCTCAACCAAGTCGTCTGCACAGGGTAGGCGTCAGCGCTTTTCACGCACGCACCTCAACACACTCCTACAACCACATCTCACACTTCGCCTTGTCTGTTCGTTGGTTTGTTTGTTGGTTGGGTCCTTCTTCCCTTCCTTCTTCAGTTGGGACGACGAGCAGCCGCACCCCAACGCCGGGTCGGGTTCTGACATCGGCCCCGGCCAGAGCTTCGAGAGGCAGACTGCGGACGGCTCAGCGGAGGAGGAATCGCGCCTCCCGCCCCCACCACAAGCACTCAACGAAGACGGCTCCTTCTCGGAGGCCAACGTCCCCACACAGCAGAAGGCTGCAACACCCGCCACACAGTCGGAAGAATCAGAGAGCCGCAGCGAAGGCGTGGCCGCGACCGTGTCTGAGCGCGTTGAGTCGTCGAGGATAGCGAGCATCGACGGCGGCAGCGACGGCCGGCACATGGCGTACGAGATCATAATCGGTGTGCTCGCCGGTGTGGTGGTGCTGATTACGGCTGGGGGCGTGGCGTGGTGGTGCTACCGCAAGAAGGGGCTCCTCAGGAGCGGAGATGTCTCACCTTCTGTCAGCCATGTCTACCCTGGAGGTAGGTATCGATGAGCCAATGGGAGGGAGGGACTAGGGCTGGCTGGGACACGTGTCTCTGTCTGCTTTGTTGTGGGTTGTCTGTTGGTGCAGGCGGTGGTCCGATTGTTGTAGGCAGGCCTGCCTCAGACTCAGCCGTGCAGGTGTGCACTGCACGCAAGACAGAGAGACAGACGGAAATAACACCGGCACCAAGCCATGTCGACACATTCTCTGCCTGCCTGGCCTGTGTATTGGACTCTGTTGATTGGAACTGTTCAGCTCGACAACTCTCAATCGTTCAACCCTGGCGACCCGCCAATCAAGCCCAAGACGGCAAAGTCTGCACCACCAAGTCGGCAAGTCACGGCTGTCTGACCAACTCAAATAAGCAGTCAGACAGCACGCGACTCTTTACTTTTCGTTTCCTCTCCCTCCTCTTCTTGCGTTGCGTTGCGTTGCCTGTGAGCCATGCACCCATCCACTCATCCATCCCTCTCGTCTTTTTTTCATGGGACGGGGGAGCGGAGGCCGGCCGGCTGGCAACTTTCTCTGTCTGTCTGTCTGTTAGATGGCCCTGCATTCCCTGCTGCAGTGCCTACTCTGTGCCTGTGCCTGTGCCTGTGCCTGTGTTCGCCTGCCTACCCTGTCTGCCTGCCTGCCTGCCTGCCTGTCTGTTGTCTCTCCCCGGTTGCCTACCAGCTCTTAGGAGAGGGATTGTTGTATATGTGAGTGACGATGCCTGCGTTCATGCGCGCTCTCGTTGATGAGGATGGAGGCATGGCATTGTATTGATGGCGTGCGTGGCGTGGCAGATGATAATCGCAGCCAGCATTGATGGCTGCTCGCTGCCAGCTGACGGACTGACTGCCTGGGGCGGAGTCGTGTGTGTGTGTGTGTGTGTGTGTTGTGTGTTTCCCTTCCTTTTCATCCGTTTCCTGGTGCCAGTGCGCACCTTCCTGGCGCCCATCGGATCGGTGAGGGCGGCGCGGGACGGCGGCTTCCACCGCACTCGCGTGCTTCTCATCCGTATGTCTGTGTTGTGTTGTGTTGTATGTCTGCGTTGCTCCATCGGCCACTCACAAAGACCCGATCTTTTTGTGGCGCCTCGTGGGTGGTTGGCTGGAGATCATTCAGTGCCTTCTGTCGATATATCTGGTGAGACAGCTCTCCCTTCGTATGATTGATTGATGGCTGGCTGGCTGGCTGGTTTTTCTATACGCCCCTCTGTGTGTGTCTCTCTGATGTCCGTCTGAGATTGACCTCTCGCTCTCTCCCTCTCTCTCCTCTCTATCTGCCTGTCTTTCTGGCTGCCTGTCTGTCTGTCTATGTATGTATACGTGGGTGGACGGATGCGACTGCGGAGAGACATCGTGTGGGCGAGGGGGTGGCCGTCAAGGGGCGCTTTCACATCCTTGCCCCTCCCCTGCCCAGCCAGCCAAATGAATTCGTAAGTGAGATCTGCTACCACAGAGCGAGAGAGAGATAAACACAAGGGGGCTGCCTCGACGGACACACGCACCACTGCTAGCCTTCCCATCTCCGTGTGGGCTTTTCTGCAAACAATCAACACGCTGAGTTTAGAGAGAGAAAATGGGTCGTCTAGCGCTGTGTCGGTCGGTCGTTGTCAATGTCGGTGTCGATGTCGATGAATGCCCCTCTGCTTGCATTCCATCCTCCCTCTCTGTCTCTCTCTCGCAGCGCATGCAGACAGCACAGCATGCGCGCCGGCGAGCTTGGCCAAACAGGAAGGGCTTGAGGCAGCTGCTGGTGCGCCCGAAGGAAGAGAGTCGTATTTCGTGTCCCGTGCGTTGGTTGGTACCTGATGAGTTGTGTCTTGGGTTTTGGTGATGGGTGGGCTGCATGGATGGGTGGACGGGGGAGGGGGGAGGGGCATCACATTATATGATCATACCGACTCTTTTTCGCTCTGGTATGCCGGCCCTTCATCTTTCTAACTGACTGACTGGACCACCTCAATAGGTGGCCTCTCTGCCTGCCTGTCGTGGTGTAACTAAACCTGTGTCGCACTCTGCTTGGTACACACACACGCTCATGTGTTATCGCACCAGCCTGTTTATTGGCTGCCAGGGCATCGCGGTCGCATGGCTGGTTGACTATTGAACGTTGAGCTTTCTTGTAGGGTCTTTAAGGCTGCCGTGCTGCTGCACCGCCCTATCGGGGGACCGAGGGAGGGAGCCACAGCCATCCATCGTGTTTGTTGCCTTCACACTTGCACGCACATGCACACACAAGTGAAAAGGGGGGGCCTTGCTTTTTGCGGACCCTTGTTGTGGCCACTGACCGTGTCACTCACCATGTCTCTCGCCCGCGTCTGGTGTCGCTACCGTTATTCCCTTTTGCGTTTCTTCGGATTGAGGAAATGGCCATACCATTGAGATGGTCGCCGCTTCGTCATTCACCCATCCACTGAGTGTGTGTGTTGTGTGTGTGAGAGAGAGAGAGTGTGCGTGGGTGTCTTTAAGTGACGCGGAAGTTGTTTGACGTGTCAACGAGTGAGCGAGCTGCCTCGCCATGTTGTCGACCTTTATCCATCCATGCGTGAGCTCCTGTCTGATGGGTGGGTGGGTGAGTTGGTGGGTTGGTTGGTGGGGGCACTGACATGCACACGTACGTACGCACTCTCTCTCACGCAGTCCCTAACACGACTGGCGCACAACCGACCGATGCGTGTGTGTGGGCCCCTTGCTGCCTTGGATCGGGGCGTATCTGTCAAGGCACATGGAGGGATCTTGTGTGTGGGATGACGGCATCCCGAAACCATGTGGTGTGATGTGATGTGATGGAATGATTGCACGGAGGCCTGCCCACTTACTACGCCATTGGCTGGCCGACTGGTGTCTCGGGTGAACTGCGTGGCTGGCTACTGTCTGTCTGTCTGTGTGGATGCCCTGGCCATGCATACACACGAACAACATACATACATACATGCATACATACATCCGAACAAACTACTTGCTATATCGCTAGATTTGTGGTACCACCTACCTGTGCCTGCGACGTGATCGATGGTCCATGCAGCACACGCACACGCATCCTCACGCCTATCGCTCCCTGAGTGAGCACTTGTCTCCGCAGTCGTCAAGTCCATTCCATTGCATCCCATGCATCAGTCATTCCTTCAGGTGAATGACTGACAACCATATTACTATCCGTACAGACATGCACAAAACCACCCAGCCCCCTTTTTAGTGCACCGTCCCGGCCGGGCCGGCATTCTGTGTGCATCCTTGCTGTGTGTCTCGACGTGTCCTCTCTCCCGTATGTGTGGACTGACTGACTGACTGCTTGCTTCATGGTTTGTTGTTGCGCCCACTCGCTGTGCATGGTCGCCCTACCGGGCAAGTGGGGGACAGGGGAGTGAGTCTTGTGTGGTGCTGGGTCACTTGGTTGGTTGGTTGGTCAGTTAGTCGGTCCGGCGACTGAACGCACACACGATGACTTTATCTTGTCATTTGCCGCCGTGTTAATGCGAATCTTATGGAAAGGGCAAGAAAGTACAAATGGGATAGTACTGAAAGCCCCAGCAACGATCGGGCCCCAAGGACTCATTCATCGAGAAGATGGCGATGGATTGTGAGCGTGACGGCTCGCTTGACGCCCTTGAACAGCCGGCAGTGCCGTTGGATTGTAATGAGACCTTCAAGGCGACAAATGATGACCTCTCGGTCAGCCCCCGCTGACACGAGGCAGAGATCATCACTGATTCAAGCTGTGTGTCTTCTGCAGGGACTTCATGCACCCGCAGAAGCCCACGACATCGCACAAGTCCAGAGTGACGTCGTGCACCCGGCCGAGTCTGAAGCAGCACCAGTGGAAGAACTTCAGCAAATCCAGAGGCAGCTGAGGGAACTGGAGTCAGCTGGTAAGCTCACTCTAGCTCACTCATGGAGACTGGCAAGCAAGACCGTCCACGACTCAAGCCCGTGGCATCCCTTGCTGCATGTTTGTGGTGTGGGGCTTTGTCACTCAGGTCAGTACGACCGTGCGGCAGCCTTGCGCGTGCATCACGACCGGGTGCGGCAGGAAGAGGAGGAGCGACAGCAGCGGCTGGTTGTCGAGGCACAGTCGGAGGAGCTCCAGATGGTGGCCAACACACCCATCTCCACTCGTTCGTGGACTTGATCCATTTCTGCGGCCTTCGCTTTGTTCAGGTCGAAGACTGGCAGAGACAGCAGTTTCTCCAATTCAGGTGGGCGCACCACATGCAGCAACGGCGGTCTATGCCTTTGCATGGCTGCCTTTTGTTCCTCCCTGTGTGATGCAGCAATGCATGGGACAAGTACATGGCCGATTACGAAGCGACAGCATATGCGTCGCTCGAAAGACTGCAGGTCAGCTACATTCACACGCAGAAGAAGCGGTCGTGTACCAGCCAGCCGTGGGTGCGTACACGCGCGTGAGGTGCAGGAGCAGCATACCAACGAGGTGGCGGAGTACCATAGAAGTCTCGTGTCATATTTCCAGGCGTAAGATGCCTTATTCCCATCGCCGGCCCAGAATGGACACCGAGTTGTGTGTCTGTGTCTCTTCTTGAAAAAGGCGGAAAGCGAAATCCTCAGTTTCCCTTCTGGAACTGCGCAAGAAGCAGGCTGCGCTTGGTAAGCCTGTTGCTGTGACGCTGTTTCGTAGATGGGCCATATGTTTTCCTTTGCGGCTTGACTGCAGCTCGTCTGGGTGCTTACGGTGAGGCTCACATCGTCCAGGTGCAGGCAGATCATCTGGTGAGCGTCTCCTTCCCTCGAACGCAAATCGGATAAGCTGGTCTTGATGGCATCCTCACAGGAGCGGGAAGAGCGGCGGCAACATGAAGCCGCCACGTCAAACCTGATAGCAAAAAAGGTAGGTGAGGGGAGTCAGGTTACGGTAAGAAGGGCGATCTAATCCCACTTTGCCTTTTGATGGTGGCCTCAGGAGGACAAACTTCGGCAGAGCCAGCACCTTGAGCTGCAGGCGTTGCTGAGACGGATACAGAGAGATCGGGCGGAGCAGATAAAGAAGAGGCAGATCGACTCAGCAAGACTGATTCAAAGAAACAAGAATCTCAAGCAGGATCTGTAAGTTGTTGCTGGGAATCAGTCTTGCAGATCTGTTTCCTCATAAGTGTCTCTGTGTGTGTGTGTGTGTGTGTGTGCAGACTGAAGAGACAGGTGGGCAAAATGGCAAAGAGCCCACACCTGCACAAAAGCATCTGTCATTCATTCTCTTGTGTCTCCCAGTTCACTGAGGCACAACGCGCGGGCCAAGCGATCAAGCACGTCTTGGGGAGACCGCTGGATTCACACACCGCAACAACAGCAGCAGCAACAACATCCAATGCGTCCCCATCAACATGCCTGCGGCGAACGGCTGACGACTTCTTTACCGATGAAGTGCCTTCGATGAAGAGTGCTCGACTCACGTCACGAGCAGCACTGACAATGACCTATGGCGAGTCTCAATGTGCGAGAGGTATACTCACATGCCCCCCCCACACGCTTATTGACCCCTCCTTTCTGTTGTTCATCCAGCCGTAGTCCGCAAATGACAGCCGGAGTCTTGTTTGGTGGTATCGGGGGATGAGAGGGTGGGAGAAGGTAGATGCAAGCACGTGGGAGACGGCTTGCATCTACGTGCTTGCAGACGCCCGAAGATTCGCTTTCCATGTCCTTTCAGCTCTCTTGTTGGCGCGTTCTTCCTGACGCCGCTTGCTTCTGGCTGAGGATATCACAGCCCGCCAGCCTTGTCTGGATTTGCTTCCTTGAATCCGCTCTGCTTGCGTGGACACAGCTTAGTTGCTAGTTTGTATGTGTCCTACATTTGTCACATGATGACGACACTGCATATATCATACAGAGAAAGCATACACACAAGAATAGCCTTCCTTATTTCTGGAAGGCTGCATTGCGGGCCTCCTCTGCCTGCACGTTGGTCAGTCGTCAGGCCTGATGAATATACGCCATGACATACCGGTGACCGCCTCTTCCCTCACGAGTTCTCTGTCCGCTCTGGACTTAGGCTCCGGACTGGTGTGTACAATGCATGCTTTGCTATGTCTCCCGTTCCCTCACGATGTGTCGATTGCACATGCGAGGAGCGAACAAAAGGTCAAGAGGTTCATGTACACACACCACATAGACAATCACTCGACGTCACTCGAGCAAGGGAGCCAGGGGGGAGAGAGAGCATAGCACGGCCACGTCGGCAAGTTGTCTGGTGGAGCGCACTCTCTCCTCACGTTGAGGTGATGCAGCTTTCCTTGGTGCAGCAGAATTCGATGGCAGGCAAGATGGGGGCGTCTCGCAAATGCGAGCCGAGTCATCCCCCCACCGGGTGGGTAGTTGGTGTGTCCCCCCACCTAGCAGTCTTTGCGTCCGTCCAAACATCATATAAGTGGCCCGAGTGTACGCACACATCGTTTCCGACGTTCGATGCGTCGTTTCAACTTCGCTGCCGCCCTGTTGGTCGGCCTCTCCACCCTCAGGCAGCCCCTCCTGGTGGCCCAGCGCAACTATGACCGACGTAAGCCACAGCCGGGCACACACACCGAGCCGGCCAATGCATGCATCATGGCAGACCTGCCTTCATTGTGTGCATTTGTATGGCTGTTTTCTATGATGTACGGCCGTAGAGATGGCGGTGGCCGCTCATGAGCTCGGTTGGTGACCGCCCCCACCCATCTTAGACTACCCTGCCATCCCACAGTCAATGTGGTGTGTGTCGGCAGGTGCCCAGCAGATTTCATCAGTGCAGCTGCAGCTGCAGCTCAACCATACTGCGGCCCATGAACTGAACACTGCCGCCGCCCGGCTGATCCGCACAGCCGCAACCAGCTTTGATAACGCCCACCGCATGTTCAAGCTGTGCGCCGACCAGAATGGTGGGTGATCACGTCCACACGCACATACATATGCTCCTCTCGTAGAGACCAATGTCATTCGTGTGCCTGGCAGTCTGCGACGTTCCTTACTCCTTTGCTGAAGCCGCCATGGCTCACATGAACACCACTCGACTTGAAAACGGTCAAGACACTTCCCACCCTCTGTGAATGCCTGTGTGCATGTGTGTCTATCTGTTTATGTATGTGTGTGTGTATACCGCAGCACAGAAGCCTATGAAAGAGGCCGGCGGATACACGCAGGATGGTAGGCCAGCACATTCAGCTACCAACATTAGCCACGCCGTCATGTTGCATGTCTCATGTCGGCGGACTACCAATACATGTCTGTGTTGCGGCGTTCTGTCAAAGGGGAGACGGCAGGCAACACATCATCGTCTTCACAAGAGCCGGGGGATCTCTTGTACCAGTTCATTGCTGAGCATCTAGACAAGGCACTGAAACAACGCGGCCGCTCGGATGCAACAAGCTGGGGTACCGTTCTTGACGCTGGCACCGGAATGGACTCTCTGACGTGGCTTGTGGCGCAGCAGAAGAAAACTGCGAAGCTTGTCGCCGTCACAGCGGATCCAAGTCGGGCCGAGGACTTACAGCAACAATTCAAGGATAAGCTGCGGCCCCAAGATGAGATACTCCTTGGCAATTGGGACGATTCGACATTTCTCAGCAACTTTCAAGCCGATGTCATTGTCGCCGGCTACCTCATCGGGGCAATAGACGGATTCTCACCTTATTTTCAAGATCGAATCTTATCCCGCCACGTTCAGCACCTCAAGCCGGGCGGATGGCTGTACGTTGTCGGACTTGAGCCGTTCTCGAACAGCGAGTCGACGTCCAAGGCGGACAAGCTCCTCCAGCAAGTTGCGAGAGTCCGAGATGCATGTATTCTTCTCGCTGGCCATCGATGCTACCGTGAGTATCCGCAGGATTGGGTTCATCGGCAACTACAGCAGGTCAACTGTCGTATTGACGCGAGCGAACGATGGCCCAATGTTTATTCGAGTCGACAAGTCGAGCGTCAGGTTGGTCTTCAAGTTAGATCATGGCAAATTCTCCACCTCCTTCTTGACTTTGGTGGTTATAGATCCAAGTGGGGAGGGACAAATTGCCCTTCTTTCCCGATACTCAGCTTGCCGATGAAATGGCGAAGTATCTCGACCAATTGTCCCAAGAGACACGGGAGGTTTTCAGCAACGACCAGAAGCACACATTTGGGTTTGACTATGTCGTCTGCGCCGAATACCAGCCAGAAAGCTCGTAACAAATAGCCCAAAAGCAAGTTAGTATTACAAGCATCCATCGACAGAGACAATGAGACGCTAGTTGAAATACAAAGTCAATACTTGTCGCTCTAAAACAAACACAAAATGCATCCGTCCTTGTACGTGGGATTCCACCCATCCACCACACACAGTAACCGCCACCAGCCTTTTCCAGCTGCCATGCATGATGGATGCATGTATTCATTCAGTCCTGGCCTGTCTGTCTGTCTCTTCACAAGCAAGGGGCGGCGACACACACCTCCTGACACTCTTGCGGCACATACCTCACCTTGGGTTGATCACAACCCCACGCGTGTGGCATGTGGCATCACACGCACACGTAGTGGATGGGTGCACTGGGTGGGTGTGCTTACAGTCAAACCCGGTGCATACACAACACGCTGGCACACGTGTCTATCTCGATGTCTGTCTTTCTGCCCATGTAGGTCTTGTGAATGGTCAAAGCAGCGTGTGGGGTGAATATTGCAGGGGAGTCTCGATTGCCCTCCTCCTTCTCACTGCCGGGCCCTCACTCGTCGCCTCTCATCAGTACTGACTGCGTGGCGAACAGGGACAAACCATGCCGGCAAACAGGGACGACAACGGAGAGAAAGGCGCTGACGACGCACGAACAAATCATTTCCCTACCCTTCCTGCCTCCCTGCCTCCCTCCCTGCCTCTCTCCTTGTGCCTGCCTGCCGGCTGCCTCCGTCTTTCACCCGACTTCATGTGCAGTTGAGTAGGTCGGTCACAGTGTCGAGGCGGCCAACCATCTCTGCTTGATCTCTGCTCCCCTATGCGGTCAGCCACCTCTTAACTCTCAACCCTGACCAAAGAGAAAAAGAAAGAGGAACAGACATGAGGGCATCGATGGATGTGCAGACCTCACTTACCATTTTGTCGATCATGTCGCGTTTGACGTTGTCCCAGGGCTCTTCGTCGAGCTTGTCACTGGCCGAGCAGATGGGGCGGAACTTCTGCTGCGGCATGCCACACACTTCCATGATCGCTTCCAGCGGCTTCCTGACACAAAGATGCGCACATTTGCAGCTCCACTGACCCAATCACTCGCCCACCCACCTGTGTTTGACCTTGACTGCAGCCCCCATTGGGAAAGAGCCGGTCCAAGATCTCTGACTGCCCATTCTTTCCTCTGCTGAGTATCCAAGATACACAAACACGTGCAATCCATAAAGTGCTCATGTCTCTCTCTCTCTCTCTCTGTGCGTTCCTGTGTGCCCACTCAGAGACACATAGTGTCGTCGGCGATTCGAGCACCCTCGATGGCCTCTGCACTAATCGCTTTCGCCGGTCCGACAGATGCTCGGCTTCGGTCCTCGTCTTTGTCTCACTACTAGAAATAAATGGGATATCGACAAGCTGCTTGCTGTCGCGCAGTTCTGAGTGACTGACAGACAGACTGACGACTGAAGCCGCCTCCTGCGTATGCTTCAACCAACAGTACTTCAAAAGAAAAAGAAACGAGGGAAAGAGAAAAAAAAGAAGGGGAAAAAAGGAGAGAAGAAACGGGTCGTTGTGGACGTTGTACGCTGTGTCTTCCCCAATCCAATCCACCTGCCAACCGTTTCTATGCCTTCTTCCTGCCTACTTGTTGGCTGATTGTGTGTTTTCCTGGGGCTTACCACCCCGGCTTGAAGGATTGTGTGTGGCTCTGCTGCTGAGTGGGAGAGCCATTCATCAAACTGAAAAAAAGAAACATCGCGCACACACACAAAATGAGAGACACACTCATGACACGCACGATGTGGCGTGGCGTCTCGCTGTCTCTTTCTCTCTCCCTCTGCCTGCCTCGTGTCTGTGTGAGCGCACCGTGTCGGCCACTGGAGCGCCGCGCTTCTGAGGGATTTGTGATGGCTCGCCGCTATATTGGCGTCGTCCTTGGACGGGAACAATTGGCGAAAAGCGCTCAATGAGGGTGGGATGAGAATGAGATTGGAGGTCAAATGAGAACAGACCACTTTGAGTACGTTAATGATACACAGGCCCATTCATTTATTGGTCTCGTGGCGTGGCAGGGACCGTCCGTTCGATCATCCATGGAAAGCAAAAGAACAACCAGCCAGGCAGGTAGTGGGAATGACGTCTCCCTCCACTCATATGTGTGAACGCAACGCATGAATGTACACATGCGTATGCAGGCAGGCTCGTGTGGCCGGTCGGCCCTTATATCCCCGCCTCCTCCCGGCTGAATGGGTCAAGGGGATCAGGCGGCGCCTGATCGTCCCAGGGGCCAACCTCCGTGGTGTCGACGGGGATCCGGCGGCTGTTTTGCCGACCGACAGCTCAAAATTTGGCGTGTTCTGAGATGCCACCAGCTTGGGGGCGCTGACAAGGACACACAGAGACACCACAAAGAGGGAGACCATCCATCTGTACATCCCGTTTGACAAGTCATATGTGTACGTGTTCGTGCGCACCGCACCCTTTGTTCCATTTGTGCAGCTCGACTCTGATGGGGAGCTCGCCGTACTTGTTCCTTGCCATAATGATGTCGACAAAGGTCTGCCACCACGGCATGGCACGGCACAGCATTCCAATTTGCGCAGGTGTATGCATGTTTTGTGTTCACGTGTGTGATGTGTGGGCGTGTTGTGTACCTTCTTGCTGCTGTCTGTCCAGGCGCCAGAATTGGCGTAGACGATTTGTTCTTGGCCTTTGTCGTACTTCTGGAACTTGCGCAGGTAGTGGTCTGCGTGCACATGATTCCAGCCGTCCATGAGTGACCTTGATGGCTTCCAAGGACGTACCGTGGGTGTGTCCCATCACAGTGACGGTGGCGTCCTTCTCGCTGCACACGAAATACTCCTGGTTCGCTGTCGAGCCCTGCATATGAGGAAGTGGTTGGTGCACAAACGCGCGTTGGTCTGAGGAGTGTAGGTGAAGGCGTACGATCAGTAACTCCTTGATGTAGTCCTCAGACATCCCCTGGTTTGCAAACCTATCGCAGACACACACATGCACACGTGTGCGTGTATGCGGGGAGGCGCAATGACAGTGAGCTCACTGTCCGGGCAGCAGTGCATAGTCCCTGCACACACATACACATACAGATGTGTAGATGTGTGTACGGCAATGCGCGCGCCATCTCTGTGCACATACTGAATGATGCTCCACATGCTCTTGTCCGGGTACATCATCAGCGAGTCGCTCATAGTGCCGTTGGAGCCGTACAAAGCGCGCTGCGAAGACGAACCCATTCACGTGTGCATGACACATATCGATTCATACGTACATCGGACCGCATCAGTACACGTATGTATTTCATCTGCCCGGTGAAGTAGAGGTGTTTCAGTTCCTCCTCGGATGGTTCGTGGTCGTATTCACACGCCCCCAGCATGATCGTCTTCCTGCAGGCGAACACACAGGCAAAAGCACCAGTGCCGAACACCTGTGATGACTTTCGCAAGCTAGCTACGGCTACGCTAGTTTTGGGAAGCCTTTTCGTGTGCTGAAGACAAGGGAGACACGGAGACATCCCAGTGCACAAGTGAAGTTATTCGGGTACAAGGCCCTTCACTTACAATCGTTCCATGAACTTGCGAGTCAGATACTTTCCGAGCCATGACCGCCTGATGACTCTGAGAGAGACATAGCACGTGTTCATCGATGACAGCACCGTTCTTGATGCGTCGCATACGTACATGCAGGTATGCATACCTGAGTGTGCCTCTGACAGTCTCTGAGTAGACAGGCAGTGCAAACGGGTCGTCAGCCTCGGCAATCCTGTCCAGCCAAATTTGTACACGTGTGTCCGTGTTGATGAAAATAGGTCTGTTTTATGTGAAGATCGGCGGCACCAGTTGGGATGCTCCGGCGTGTGCTCGTCGATCCACTCTCTGCAATGAAATGGAGGTCTCAGCACAGGAGTGTGTCACCTTCCTTCAAAGCAAAGTGCCCGTGTGTACTTGACAGCGAGATAATGGGTCGTAAACCAGTTCGCCAGAGCGGCGAATCCCTGAAAATAAGTATAAACAACCCACTGGAAGCGGACATCTTCGAAACCGCAGGTACCTTCTGTTTTTTGTTCTTTTTCTTCTCGGCTCTGATCTCCTCCCGCTTGTAGTGGTCGGCCTGGCACGCAGACGCAGGACAAACAAAGAGACCTAAGTTACAGTGGCGTATGGAACTCGCCTCACCTGGCAGCGAGAGACGTACTCTCCTGCCAAAGCCATCCCACACACAGAGCATTTTGTGTTCGCTGGCTGCGGTGTGTATTCTTTTCTTCTCTGGCGTCACTGACCACCCAGCCGTCTTACCGTACGAAGGGCGACCCAGGGGATCCTGTATGCACAACACATACGGTGTGTGATCGTGTGTGGTGTGTGAATACTCGTACCGGTCGGTTGAATATGTCTGTCAGACGAGCAAATACGGAGACACACACCAGTCAGATCAAAGAGGCAAGTGCATCCCTGTCGTACCGTTGAAATGTCCGTGCTGCATCTTGACGAGTGGGAGAGAATCCGAAGGGAAATACAGGAAGTCGCCTGGGTAGTGGACTGATGGGCCTGCAAGAATGAATGTAGTATCCCTTCATCAACATCAACGGACAAAGGCGCGTATGTATCCATCACCCCTGTCTGCTGTGTGTACTGACCGAATAGCTCTCGGACCAGCTGCTCACTGAGGCGGTCGTCGTGGTTCCCTGCACGCAAAATACGCGCATGCTGTGTGCAGCCATCGACGTGTGTCAGCGAGAGAGCCGATTTGTGTACCTCTGAGGATCCAGACCTCGGCGCTTGTTTCAGCCGCTATCTTCTTGATGGACTCGATGATCTCTACAGGACATACGGATGTGTACACATGTAGATATGCAGCCCATGTACATGTACATGTGTGCTCAGGCGCTACCTGGGAAGACCACGCCGAAGCGCTCTACGGGATCAGTCAGGATCTGCGCATTATGACACATACATTCGCGTGAGGGCATGTCTACATACGCGTGTGCGCGGCTATACACTGCGAATCGTGGGGGTTTCCTCGTCCTGCAAAGAAACAGTTCAGTCCGTGCGCTGCCAAGGACGAGACACATCTCTCTCTCTCTCTTTCTGCTAAGATACCAGAGGTGTAAGCCAAGCCTCAAACACATCACCTGAACGCACACACGAGAGGTGCAGGAGACCGTACGCGTGCAGGTGGAGATCTGTGTGGACCTAGAAACACAATATGACTGATTTTCTCTTCAGAGATGTAGCTTGGCACGGCGTGGTACTGAAAGAATTGGCGCACGTCAGCGAGGGTTTCGGCCTTCTGCGTCCTGCAGGTCAAAAACAACGGAAAAGCGCACACTTGACGGTATGGTGCTGGTGGTGGTTCGTTGAAGAGATCTGCCATACCGCGGGCTTCCGAGATGCATATCGCTCACCTACAATGGCAAATGGATGCATTCAACCCGGTACATACCTTGATGGATCCTTTTCCTGCGAACCACACGGATCTTCGAGAATTCAGGTTCGGTCGCGTTGGCGGCCACACGAGCCTGCGCACCCACAAACAGAGTCGTTTGCCAGATGCACACCGAGAGGGTGGGCGCCGACCTACCCTCAATTGCCTACCCTACTGCCCACGCACCTGCAGTAGGGATGCTGCCTTCACGTTGATATTGGCATTTCTCACGCGAAGGGCGGATGAGTGAAGACTGGCGAGGAGGATCAAGGTGGAAAACACCACAAAACAACGCATCTCTTGGAAGGATGGAAGGATGGGAGGATAGAGATGGAAAACCTGTTGTAAATTCGATCTCCCCATGTTCTTCATGGGTTCTCCGCGTTGAGAGGGCACAACAGGGATTCACTGAGAGACATACATTCGTACGTCTTCGAGCGAAGGGAAGGATCTCGTAGGACGGCAGAAGGCGCACACACACACAGAAACAGTTTTGACGCCATCATGCACGCATGCAGAAATGAGCAGAAAAAGGAGAGAAAGGGAGAAGAAAGCAAGGCCGTGAAGGGGATATGTGCGATCGACCACAATACTGTACAGTAGTGTGCCCAAAGTGCATGTGGCGTGTGCCTTGCATTGCGCTGCGCTGCCTGAGGCAGCGCCGCACGGCACACAGAAAGTACGTTGGGAGAGCGAGTGGCTCGAACCCATTGGATACATCATGAAACAGACAGACAGACAGACGGAGAGAGAGAGAGAGAGAGAGAGACAGGCCTCGCCTTTCTGTCTCACTACTACTAGAAATAAATGGGATATCGACACTCCACTTACTGTATCGACAAGCTGCTTGCTGTCGCGCAGTTCTGAGTGACTGACAGACAGACTGACGACTGAAGCCGCCTCCTGCGTCGCCGTTCTGCTTCATTGACCGATTGATGCTTCAGCCATCTCTCACTAAGAATGAAACAGCTAAGAAGAGCAAACAAAAAGAAAAGAGGAGAAGAGAAAAAAGAAGGGGAAAAAAGGAGAGAAGAAACGGGTCGTTGTGGACGTTGTACGCTGTGTCTTCCCCAATCCAATCCACCTGCCAACCGTTTCTATGCCTTCTTCCTGCCTACTTGTTGGCTGATTGTGTGTTTTCCTGGGGCTTACCACCCCGGCTTGAAGGATTGTGTGTGGCTCTGCTGCTGAGTGGGAGAGCCATTCATCAAACTGAAAGAAGGAAACATCGCGCACACACACAAAGTGAGAGACACACTCATGACAAGCACGATGTGGCGTGGCGTCTCGCTGTCTCTTTCTCTCTCCCTCTGCCTGCCCCGTGTCTGTCTGAGCGCACCGTGTCGACCACTGGAGGGCCGCACTTCTGAGGAAACTGTGATGGCTCGCCGCCAATATCGGCATAGTCCTTGAAGAAGTCATACATAGAGTCCTTTCGGCCCGTCCGTTTCATCGCAGAGTGAGCAACGATACGATGAATGAGAGGGACGAAGCAAACGATGGACAGTGATACAATCCTACAACTTCAAATGCACAAGTGTGTGCGTATTGTGGACGAAAGGTCATACACTCACTCACTCACTCGCACACACACGTAGGCACACCCGTACACGCGTAAGCCCGTGAGCCCCTCCATCCCAAACGCCCACCCAGCCATCAAAGCGACACTCCGGAGCGGGCACGAAAAGCGTTTCTTTCTCCTGTCTGCTCCATCCCTCCCTCCCTCCCTCCCTCAATAAATTGCCCACATACACCGTCCTAATTGATCAAGCTAGAAAGAACACACTGCTCCAACCGAAGACGCCTCTGTGTGGTGTCCTCGGCACTCTACCGCAATATACCACGACACTCGACTCGACCCATTGGGCTTCGCAGGTGTATGTATGTTGCAAAGGTCGACACGCCCGATTGATAAGGAGGGCAATTCACGAATAGAAACCTACCGGGTATGTGCGCTCATCTTGGCCGTGAGAAAACTCTCAGGTGTCGCCACTGAGTGACTCGAATGCTGACGGATCAACCGTCTGTCTGCCAGCGCCAAAGCGCCTTCCTGCCAGCTTGGAATCCTCCCTCGTTCAAGTGGCCTGTAGTGGCCTCGCAGCGGACGTCCCCTACCGACACATACATAGACGCCCAGGAAGGGAATGTGTGAATCCCTTGCCTTCGAGCGCATTCACCCAACCCTGTACGCAACGCGCACACCCATCACCCACAGATGGGATGCCGTCGTCCTCCCCTCACCATTTCTCGTCTCGCTTCAACAAACCTGACACACGACACACTCGACAGACAACAGGAGAAATCAACACTGTTAGAAGGGTGTATTATGTCAAGCCGGCGCTCTTCGTACCTTGCGTGATTTCAGTTGTCTTCAAGTTGTTTCTCGCCACTCCATTTCATTTGTCGATCGGGGAGGAACCGGGGAGTGGAAGGTGTCAAGGCGCACCCCTCTGTCCCTCGTGTGCGGCGTATCGCAAAGACGACGTCCCCATCCTCAAATCAGTGAGTCACAGCACCAGAGGACCCGCTCTGCGGAATCGATGATGGCGTGTTTCTTCCCTCCCTGTGTGTGTCTGCAGGTCCACTCGGCCACGGGGTTTGTTGCGAGAACGTCGGCGAATCTGTTGTGTCATGCACGGGAGGCGCATGTGTGAGTAGGGAGTGAGGATACTTGGGTGTCTGTCTTCGAGGACGGGCTTTGTAGGAACGTTTGGAAATCAAGGTGGGTGTCAGACAACAGACGGACAGACGGGCAGGGAGGCGGGAAGGAGAAGTTGCGGATGTATGCCTGAGGTGTCTTGTAGTGGGATTAGTGGGTGGGTGGGTGAGTGAGAACGTAGAAAGACCAAGGGTTATGACGTTGACGGTGTTTGCACGCGTGTACCATCACACCCATTTGACCCATTCTCTCTGTTTGTATGGGTTGCCCCTTCAGTTATTCCGTTTGTGAGCTGCCAGGGTGTGTCATAGATGTCGGTGCCGCCAGGCCAGCCCGCCAAGTCGCCCTCCTCCCTCCCCCCACCAGAACCGGAACCCGAAGTCGTCGATTCCGACTCGAGCAACGAGCAGCCCCCGGCACGCTCACCTGCAGACAGGGGAGGCCTCTCTAACCAAGCGCCGGAACAGGCGGCGAGCAAGGAGGGGGCAGCAGGGGAGAGAGCGGACATGGACGTCGATCGTGGTGGCGGCGGCGGCGGCGGTGGTGGTGGTGGTGGTGCGGCGAAGAGTCGTGGGAGGCCCAAGAGGAAAGGAGAGGACAAGCAGCAGCAGCAGCAGCCAGAGGGAGGTGCCGACCGACCGAAGCGGAACAAGCGCAACGCTGCTGACAAGGCGGGCTCGGCTGGAAATCTCCCTGACAACCTCGTCAAGAACCTCTTCCCCTCCCAGGCGGACAAGATGGTCAAGAAGAAGCGAAAAGACAAGGACAAGGACAAGGACAAGGACAAAGACAAGGACAAAGACAAGGGCGGACCTGCTGACATGCAACGCGACAACCGCCACGCACAGCCGCCACCAGCGCACCACTCATCTACCAAGCATCTGCCCGACGGTGGTGAGTACCTGTCTGGTGAGAAGAAGCAGCTCTTGATGGAGTCGTTGAGGGGCTTCCTACTGGACAACGGGCTGCTGGTGACGGGCAAGCAGGTCCGTGTGGCCGTCGAGCGGAAGCTTCAGGTGTCATTCCGCAGCCATCGCAAGGACTTCATGACCGTCGTGGACGAGTGCATCCAATACCTAGCCAAGAAGGGCAAACTCGGTCAGTCACAAAGCCAATCAACAAACACAGAGAAATCGACTGGTTGACACGCCAATGTGTCGGGTATCTGTGCGTTCAGCCAACCAGCCTTCTGACGCGCACTCATCGGCTCGCCAGGGAGCGCAAAAGCGCCAGGGGTCGGCCCCGCCAGTCGGAGAGCGTCCACTGAAGCGGCCGAAGGGCTCTTCCTTCTCCATTATGGACTCTGACAGCCACAAGGACAAGCAGCGACGATCGACTGGCGACATCTCCCGAGGCGCCGTGGACGGCCCCAAGGGAGGAGCCCACCCTCCCAAGTCAAACGCGCCCCCCTCCCCCTCACCTGACCCCGCTGCCCCGCCAGGGTCCCTCCCAGGCCAATATCGATGGGCCCCAGGGCAGCAAAAGCGACGCAAGAAGCGACGCGTGGCCTACCGCGTCCCGTGGTCGTGCCCGCACCGGTATCTGCACCCCAGGAGCCAGTGCCTGGCGTGCATCGTGCGGTGCGGCGGCGGCAAAGACAGGATGGACTCGCTCACGGCGCACAAGATGTTGATGGATGCGGATGGAGGGGGGCATGAGGATCCCACAGCCGGCCACGAGTGGGTGAGCGACATGTTCGGGAGCGATGACGACATGAGCGGCGTGGAGACAGAAGGGCGCGACGACGGGCCGGGGGAGGGTGAGAGGTGCTCGGTGGCCTTCCTGGATCGGTTCGCCATGTGTGGGGAGCTGGACCGGCGCGGCCGGGCGTTGGCGCAGGGCGACAGCGGGGCGCATGGACAAGCGCAGGAGGAGATGAAGCGGTTGAGCGAGGAGCTGCACCGCCGATGGGCTGCCCACTGCAAGAGACTGACTCTGACCGTCAAGTGAGAGAAGGAGGGAGGAACATGTCTGCATGGACCCACGCCCTCAGCCCATGTTTGCCATGTTTTGCCATGTGTGTTGTGCTGTGTTGCGGCTGCCTCAGTCTTCTTGATGAGGACTCTGGCGGCGAGGAGGCCGGCCCCGAGCAGCAGTGGGGCTCGTTCCTGCGTGGTGCCTTCGACAAGGTCATCGCGCAGACAATCGCTGAGGGCAGCTTCGCCGACAAGCCCACTCCTGCCATACGCAAACGCCTCAAACAGCTGGGTGCGTCGCTCGCACAGACGC